CTACTACAACAGGTTCGTGCCACAGTACGCTAAGATAACAAACTACTGGCGAACTTACTGAAAAGGATACACCCTATAAATGGGATACTCCTCAACAGCAAGCCATGGAGCAGCTACAGACAACACTGACTACAACGCCAGTACTCATCCTACCGGTTCCAGACAGAGACTACGTGACGGAAGCAGATGCTAATGACTAGGCAGTCAGAGCAGTACTGATGCAGGATCACGGACGCGGTTTGCAGCCCATCGCCTACCTCAGTAAGAAGCTACACGGAGCAGAACGATATTACCCAATCCATGACAAGGAAGCCTTAGCGATAATCTAGTCTTCAAGGCGTGGGGGTGTTACCTAGAGGAAGCCAAAACTACAGTCTATACTGACCATTGCAGCCTCAAATACATCAAGTCGCAGCCTACACTCTCACGACGACACGTGCGGTGGATGGACTTCCTGTAGACACATTTCCACTACAACATCGTCTACAAGCCAGGGCCACACAACGAGGCCGATGCACTGAGCCGCCCAAGGCATGTAGTGGTCCACCAGCTCGTCGGGATGAACCTTCTACTCAAATGTCTATTCCTGCATGGGTACTCTGTGAACGCGGAGATCACTATAGCACATTAACAGAAGTTGTTACAGTGGGAGAAAGATTTAGCGGTAAGGAAAGGTTTAAGAAAGATTTGGGTACCGGACTATGCCCTGCTGCGACAGATCTTACTGGAGGAGTTTCACGACGTAGCATACGCGAGACATTTTGGGAGTAACAAGACGTTAGCGTGAATAGTTAAGTATTACTACTGGCCCATGATGGCAGCAGACGTGCAGCAGTTCGTCACCTCATGCGACACGTGCCAGCGAATGAAGAGTAGCAAGCAGAAAAAAGCAGGGTTACTTCAGCCTCTACCCGTACCGGAGCAGCCATGGCAAGTCGTCAACCTAGACTTCATCAATGGGCTTCCTTCGATCTCATGAGGGCACGATGCTATTCTCGTGGTGATCGACAAGTTGAACACCTTGGCTACAGCTGAAGCAATTGCTCACCTCTTCTTCGACCGCATCATCACCATCCACAGCATCCCCGCTACACTCATCTCAGACAGAGACCCAAAGTTCACTAGTAAGTTCTGGAGGGAACTCATGGGTTTGTTCCGGTCTAAGCTTGCGATGTCTTCAGCGTACCACCCCCAGACTGACGGACAGACTGAGCGACTCAATCAGGTGGTTGAACAGTTACTGCGTACAGCTTGCAAAGACGACATCAGCCACTGGGATCTACAGTTACCGACGCTTGAGTTCGCTTACAACAACGCTTAACACGCGGCCACAGGGAAATCTCCTTCCTTCCTATATTACGGGCGTGAACCACTTACACCAAAACAGCCAACCACACCGGCACACATCCACGCCGCTCACACGACTTCGTCACCACCATGCAACAGCTCTGGGACTGAGTGACGTCTCACCACGATGCAGAACTCCGAGTATGTCGATCGACAGCGACGTGATCACTCAGTAGCAGTCGGAGATCAGGTTCTTCTGTACCCACGAAACTTGGACTGGTATCATCTTCCGGTCAAGCTCCGGCCTCGCTTTTGTCGTCCCTTTCGCGTTGAGGCGATAGTGACACCAGCTACATTCCGCTTGCACATACGTTCGATATAGAAGCTTCACAGCGCTTTCCATCTTCAGCTAATAAAGCCCAACGAGGACCCCAACCAATAGTTCACGGGACGAAAGCTACCATTACCACCACCTGTTCTAGGATGAACCAGAATACCAAATGGAACGAGTTCTCGCTCATTAACTCAGACGCGGCAACACGCTCGAGTTCCTGATACGCTGGAAGGGATACAACCCGTCGGAGGAAAGTTGGGCTGCAGAAGCCGATATAGCAACGCACGCCGTGATTCTCAAGGAGTATCTTGTTAAGGTGTATCTCACGCCACCTAGCTTTGAGGGGGGGACGTGTGAGAGTACGATAGCTAGCCTTACCTTTATCTACCTTATCATGCTTTGCCTTGCTTTGAATTATTTTCTTATGCATAATTTTGCTCCTTTTCCTTAGAAACGTTGCTTACTATATTCTATTATAATTATAGCACCGTTATAGGTTGCGTGCACCGAATTCTAGGCTTCTTGGTTGCCACCGAATTACCTTCCATAGAATTTGGGAAGGACCTGTTAGGGACGCTTCGCGACCCACGGAACCTTCTAGTAACACCCAGGTTACTGCCTTTGTGTTGAGCCTATATATAGCCTCGTGTTGTACCCAGGTGATCATATCATAATTTCTGAACCAATCCCTCGACCCTCACAAGTTCGATGGCAACTGAAAAGCCTAGAATTCGGTGCACGCAAGTAGGTACAGTGCAATAAACTGTAATAAATCATAGTACGGAACGATTCTCAGGAAAACGAGCAAAAGCATGCATAAGAAAATAAATCTAAGCAAGGAAACGCATGACAAGGTAAAATCAAGTAGGCAGAACCGTCGTACTCTCACATAGTTCTACGACCTGGTCACCCGCCAGTTCTTCGCCTCTCAGGACGTTAATTTCGACGAATCGGTCAGTTACTACAGGATTCGCCCCCACCGAGGTTCTGAGGCCTTTTTCCCTCGGCTGTTCCTCACACCTGAGCCCCCCCCCCCCCCCCCCCCCCCCTCGTGTCGCCCCAGTAGCCCCAAACCCCCTTTGCGTCCGGCTCCGTCAGGTGTGTCGCACGTCACTTCGTAGTCGTCTCCCCCGTATCGTCCATTCCCTGTCGTGGTTGGGGGTGCGGGAGGTGCCGCTACGGAGGTTGGGGGTACTGGGGCTGTGGAGCTGGCTTAGGGGGTGCAGGGGGTGTGAGAGTTGAGACCATTCCTGTGGAGGATATGTCTATCTCGACTCGGCGGCCTCGCCCCGCCTCACCTCCTGGCTTCCCGTCTGTCCCACATTTCCCTCTCCGTTTGACCCTGCGACCGGTTACTGCGGAGCCTGGGCATGTTCTTGCGGGAGGTACTGGAGACACCGAGGGTGTCGGCTGGAGGTTCGGGTTCTAGGGGTGCTGAGCCAGAGACACTGGCACTGAGACGCCTACACCGCACATTGTACGTTTCCTCACCCGTGAGCAGTGTCTACTCGGTTGGAGAGGGAGGAGAGGGGGCGGCAACAGCAGCAGCAGCAGCAGCAGAAGCAGCAGCAGCAGCAGCAGCAGCAGCAGCAGCAGGAGTAGTCTAAGTCGCAGCAGCAGAAGAGTATAGAGGAAGAGTTACAGCCGCAGCAAGAGAGAGCAGAGGAGGAGTCACGACTGCAGCAAAAGGTGCAGTTCCAGCCACAGTAGGAGAGAGTAGAGGAGGAGTCATCGCCGCAGTTGGAGAGGGTAGCAGCAGTCCCGCCCGCCGCAGGAGGTGCAGTTGCAGCCATAGGAGGAGGGAGCAGAGGAGGAGACACGACCGCAACAGGAGAGGGTAGAGCAGGATTCTCGGCTGCACCAGCAGGTGCAGCCGCAACCACAGCAGGAGAGAGAAGAGGGGGAGCGACAGGAGCAGCAGAGGGGCAAATTCCGTCGCAACAGGCTCCGGAGGAAGCGGAGCGGCAGCGACTGCGCGACCTTCCTGACCTAGCACCTGCACGCTTGGTTCGTGGTCCCCTACCGTCCCCTCCTTTTCTCATTATCGAGTCCCTTTCCTCGTCCCCAAAGGCTCATCGTGCTCCCCTCAGCCGTGCTGTGTCTCAAGAGCCCCGTCGGTCTCGTTACAGAGTGGTTCATCTCAACGGGAAGGTTGGGATGAAGGGGAAACACCTGGCCCCCCTTGGGACCAACGAAGGACAGCGCCGGAATGGGTGGCAAACTGCTGCTCGACATGCAGGGGCGAGCGACGGGAGCGACGGATGCAAAATCCGTTGAGAAAAACCCGAGAATACATCTCAACGGGTTCTGGGTTTAACAACATTTGGCGAGTAACCATTGGAAGAGGCGACGTCGTGAATGTCAACAAGCAACGTCGTGGCGACGTGTGTACATTCCGCGCCAAACAAGGTTACGCGGCACCACTATATGCGAAGGGTTCAACTCGCTCCGCCTGCGCGACATGTGTTCGGGAACGCGAGTGGCCGGCCAATGGCTGCGAAGGTGTTACAATGACCACGGTTGACATTTTCTATTGGACGAACGTGTCGCGCGCACGTACCATCGTTGATGGCTCGGCACCCGCACGCCGAGCAAAAAAAAACACGGGGAGAAGCTGCGCATGCTTTGCCGACGCGTGGATGTGTAATGAATCTGTGCTGCGCATGCACGAGGTCGTGGCTCGGCCGAGCCATCACTGGCGGGAGGACAGCCTAGAGTGCCACGCGTTGGGGTTCCCAACCATAGGGTCCGAGGGGAGGTGGTCATTCTCTCATTTCTTCCACATCGTTTGTGAAACCCTAGGACGCCACATCAAACTTTCTTCCCCCATCCCCCAAGCCCCATCCCTTAGACGCCAGAAACAATAGGCTCGCTCAACTCATGCGGATGGTGTGATAGCTTACCGACCACCATGTCGACACCCTTGGCAGAGGACACCACACGCGCACCCCAGACACCACCCACGGAGGAAACCGTAGATGATGCACAAGGACCGGCAACTCCGAGTCCGCCTGCAGAAGCAGCAGACGTTGCACCGAGCACATCGCGCGCACGAGCGGCACCACCTAGGACAAGGGCTACCGCTGTCGCACCAAGACCCGCAACTCCTGCAACTCCGAGTTCCCCTGCAGAACAAACCGCAACTACGGGTTCCCCTGCAGAGGCAAACGATGATGCACCCGATCTCGACAACGTGGCTATACCGGATATCGGCAAGAAAGTTCCTATGGCACCAGGTATAGAGGTAGAGGACATAGACAGTGACTATGAGAAATCCGACACAGAGGACGAAGATTCTGATGACGAAGCTGCGAGACCGAGAGAACCTCTCACGGAGATCGAAGAACAGTACATAGAGGACGAAATTTCGCTTCGGGAGATGGAGGAAGATCACATCGAGGCCATGCGCATCCCACGCGAGGCGTTTGACGAACCAGCGTTGGACATTACCGACATGATGTCCAACACGTCCAAGAGGGCATTAGAAGATGAGGCGGCCAAGATGTTCGCTAATCTTCAACAAGGCACCACTTTCGTGTCCTACCTGAATGCCGATAGGGAGTACAAAGAGTGGTGCTGCGCGTGCCTGAAGATTGAGCCAACGGAAGGTTTCCAAGACGATGCTATTTTGCTTGACCAAGACGAGGTTGGCACATTTCTTGGAAGGGGGAAGGGAACAGATTGGAGGACGGCGGAACCAGACAAGCCGTAGTTGCATGGCCCGCGCACGACCCCATTGCGCGTGGAAACGTTCCTTCGATGGAAATCTGAGTTGACCGTGGCAAAAGCGGCGGAGTTTCGTCGGAAGACGGAGAAGGAAAGGGAGCCTTCGCGGAAGAAACGTACGCAGAAGCTGCGAGACTGCACGGTCCACATGTACGTGATGTCGGTGAAAGCACTGTCCCACCTATGCAAAGTGGAGGCTGTGCTTTTTGGTGAAAAGGCCCTGCACATCATTCGAGACATCGCGTCCGTGAGCACGGAGCTCAAGTTCAAGGTCCGCAACAAATGGCAGAAAAACCACAAGTGAGTACAACAGCAGTGCTTTTCAGTAGGCATGAGGTGTTAACGGAAAGTTTCCTTACTACTAAAATTGTTTGCAACCTTGTCGCAAGGAGTGCGTGGACCGACACCGCGGAAGTTTCAGCGACACGTACACGGAGAAGGATATACGCAGGATCATGCGGAAGGTGCTTCCTGTCTGGGCTGGGATGGCGTGGAGAAAATGTCGCAAAGCAGTGTCGCAGAGGCTCTGGAAAATCATCCTCATGAAAGTGATGACGCTCCTCGGCCACCACACACTTCTTCAAGGAGGCAGCGTGCGAAGCATTGAACTTCCAGACATCTACATGCACAAGTTGGGGAGCACCTCCCGCAAAGGCCCAACGCGCAAGGCAACCATCATGGTCGTGTCGTCGCGGCACTCCAAGACCAACAAGGAAGGATATGCCGAGCAATCTTACGCAGCACGACACGAAGACCACGAGATGTGCGCGGTGGGAAACCTCATGCTTTACCTGCACTTCGCGTACGACCTTGCCAAGGAAGCTTTCGGACAACCAGTTGCGCCTGCATTGGACTTCAGCGCGCCCGAGAAATGGTACCACAAGCATTTGTTCTTCCCCGTACGCAACAAGGAGCAAGGACCAATCCGTGCGTCAACTCATTTGCGCTTCACAAAGGAGATGTGGAGCACAAACGGGGTAATCATGAGACGGGTCGTCCACGCAACTCGTGCGGGGGGAGCACAAGTGCTGGCACTCAAGGGTGTGCCGCAGGCCGAGATCGCCAACATGGGGCACTGGTCCATCGACAAGATGAACAGGTGCTACTTCACGTCGATCCCGCACATGGGTGTTTTGGTGAAAGCTGGTTTCACCGGCTCCAAAGCCGACTACTTCTTGGGAAGAGAGTCCGTTCCCATGATGGATGCGGTGAAGGAGTTGGTTAAGAAACACATTTTCCCGTGGATCGAGGAGCAGGAAGCAGCGAAGAGTGGCTAACTCAGGTGGTGTGTAGTTTCGATCCATCCGCGCTGTTCATCCATCTTGTTGACATATCCTCTGCGTACCCTACAAGGTGAAGGGCCAGGAGGACAGTGCTGGACCTCACTTCCTGCGAACTCTGAGGAAGCTAGGCCGCAAAATTGTGGCTCAGGACCTGGCGATGATGCTGTACAAGACACCGTACCACCCTTACGTACAAGCGTCATCGCTGTGCCGTAACACCGAGTTCCGCAAATGGGCGCACGACGTGTTCCACACCCAGGAGAAGGCCTCGAAGGAGAGGAGAAATCCCACCGAGACAACAGAGGCGGTACGTCGAGTTCACCTCGTGTGAACGTTTGACTTGGTGCGATTGTACAGAACCATCCGCACGATCTCACACTGTGACACACAACGACCTGATTGTGCAGGAGTTTTTGGCCCGACATGACGCCGAGGACACCGTCATGTGTCTGCGGTCACAGCTGGATCACCAGCTTGTCAAAACGGCTGCGGAGGCCAACAAGACATCTCGGACCATCCGCAAGCTGGAAAAAGACAACAAGACGAAGGAGGACCTCCTCTTGTAAAAGGATGTTGTCATCGCGGAAAAGGACACACTCATCGCGGAAAAGGACGCTGAAATCGCACGCCTGCGTGCGTCACTTGAACAGCGTGCAGCAGGAACATGCCCGCCCTCGGATGTCTCCGGCCAGTCACCCCCGCCTGACCAAGGGGCCCCAAAGGTGGAACCCCAGCAGCCCGCTGACGTTGCGTACGAGAAGGATGTCGTGGCACCATGGAGGAAGTGTCAATCCGTGGAGCATGCATGGGTGCTGTGGAACCTCCAAGGACGCGGCGACAAAAGACGCCTACGAGACCGCTACGGGAAAGACACGTGCTTCGTCAAACGCCACTCCTACGACGGTGGCTCCAAAAGCGTGGGCGGGATTACTGCACAAATGCGGCGCGTCAAAAGGGTGATGGACGCGGTGGAGGCGCTTGGGGAAACTACGCAGGTCAGGCAGAAGCTAGAGTCCATTCTCGGGCGAACCGGGGGGTGGAGCACGTTCGCAGACGGCATCGGCGTGGTCAAGATGCCCGGGAAGGTCGAGCCAGATAGGGACGATGGACTGGAGGGATTCACGTCAACGCAACATGACCAGCTGAAGGTTGGGCGGATGCTCGTTGAGTCGGAGCTGCGGACGGAGGACTGGCTCAAGAAAAAGTTCCCTACAACGTGGGACAAGTCCCCTGCCCCGAAGCCCCAGAAGGCAAAGGCGCCTGCGAAAAAGCGCCAAAAGGTTGCTAACACGTGATGACTGTTGTACTTGCGCATGGTTGCTTACATCGTGCGCATGTTCGGAAACTTCTTGTACATATACAATGTGATGCATGACTGCGAACATTGTTTCGTACGTACGGAACATCTTTCACGAAGCATACCCAAAGGAACCAATGTTTTCACATACAAAAAGGTACACGCAATCACATACACGGCCTACTGCACACTACAACTACTGCACACGATCATTCCTTGCCACGATTAATCCTGGGCACATCATCATCAGACCCAAGAGTAGGCATGGAATCAGGGGTAGAGACCTCCGAAGTGGCCACACCGTTGCCCTCAGAATGGTCAACCTCCGACGTGGCATCCTCCGAAGTGGCCGCACCGTTGCCCTCCGAATGATCACTGACCGGGATCGCATAGCAAACGTTATACGCCTCCTGGGAAAGGAGTCCTTCGGCGAAATGTGCCATGGACGCACAAATGGCACTTAGACCATCCGCATCCCTTGACGGATACGTTTCCCCACGGCGGCGTCCCGCAACGAAGCCCTCCGTATCCATCAGCAGATCTTGCAGGAAACGAACGCACCAAACCCCAGAAACAGGGCTCCTCACCAACGGCTCCTCGTCCTCACGGGAAACATCACCACCGACATCCATGAATTCCATACGGTATTCAAGCACGTCAAGCGATGGGCGGGGGTTCGGCGCGATAAGCAGCTCAAGACGTGCCTGATTACGAAACCATCTGCAACAAATGCAAGAATCAAGAACGATGTTATTTGAAGCACTTCCGGAAAGACAACTCCTCATCTGCAAGCTCACTGTCGTATCCACCCCCACAACGGGCCCATTCCAGAGAAGCCTGTGCTCGTGCGCATGCGCTTGGGGTCTAAGAAGAAGCTGTGGACACGCATTTCCTCTCCCTCCGGTTTCAAGAGATCACGCGGACGAGTAACGACGAAAAGCGCGCACAGAGGCGGCTCACGCTCGTGACGCCATCTGCATACGAAACGGTAACCTCGAAATGGGTATGTAGAACTTCGGACAACATCCGCAAGTGTAAAAATACGAAATACACCACTTACTCGTTCCACACGGGGACGACAACTACGTCGAAATCGAGAACGCGCACAGCAGGGCCTAAACCCTCTCGACTGATTAGCGCAGCCTCGGCAGACGTCAGAATGCGCACGTCAAGAGCGTGATTACTCTCGCACGCCCATCTGCATAAGGCAACCCTCAATGTCACACACGTCGTATAACGTACTATTGCGCAAGCGAGCCGTACGTACATCAGGCCTATCTCGAGGGAAACCTCGCTGAGCTCCTGCGTAGCATCCATCATCCGCGTAACTTCGTCAGCCGTGAGGAGGTGCTGACTGCCAGTGTGGGTCTGCACTATCACACGCCGAGAAGCCATCACCAGGTGAGAAAAATAGAGAGGTTGCAGAAATCCGAAGTGAAAAATGAGAAACGACGAGTGATTTGCTGGGCCTATTTATACCCATACGGCTACCAGAGGCGGTACGGCGGGCAGCCATAATTTTCACGTTCCACGTGTAACGAGAACAAGAACATGCATTTCCGATCGAAGTTATTACACGCGCAGAATTCAGAGTGGTTCATCAAACAACATCAAAACAGAAAAAAAGGCAAGTGCTTCAATGTCATGGGTTACTACGGTATTATATATCCAGGGTAATTTCTAACAACAACCAGTGCACCCCACTGCCAACCAAAAGAACATGCGCATGGCCAAAGCAAAAAGGAGTCCACATTTGCATACGCAGACAAAACCGTCCCAGAACCTACAGCGAGACTCAACGCTTTCCCGAACCTGATCCAGGGCAATTACTACAAACAACCCCTGCCCAAACGTTCGCAACCCCCTAATGCACCTCCCCCCCTCAGCGTGTGGTGCACGATCCGTGCTGCTGGCCCACGCGACCACCTCCCTGCTGCTGCTGGCCCACGCGACCACCGCGTGCGCGAGCTCGTGCCGGCGCAGATCCGGGAAGCTCCCACTTGTTGAACCTGTAGGTGCGCTTCATCCTGTACACGGTGAGCTTCGTCATGGCCTCCGAAAGTGGAACCACCATGCCGACTGCCTGCATGGAAGCACGTCCGTCCGGGCTGTCAGCCCAATAGGCCAAGGTGTGCAGAAGTTCACCCGCGATGAACTTCCCCCAAGGATCCTCCGACATGTTCACCGTCGTCAGAGCCTGCGTAGTGACCTGATTGACGAACGTCGTCCCATTCGCAAGCGCACCTTCCACTTCGCCCGCCAGCTTCACAGCAAGCACGACCGCCTCCATGACCTTCAGCAACTGGTCCAAGAGGTTCGGGAAGGCATTGGCTCGGTCGAGCTTCTTCCCCACGTCCACAGCCCACTGGCAAGCTTGCGCAAACTGTGGAGCCTTGTGTGAGACCAAGTACCAAGCGGCGGCGACCGTGGAAGCGATGGTGACCCCATACGCGATAGCAGCCTTCGTGTCGCGCGCCTCCGCGTTGGCCGCAATGGCACCGACGGCGAGACACACAGCGGGCTGGAAGTCCAAACCACCGCTCTGATACGCTTTGACGTGCGTGAAAAACTTGGTCAGCCTGCGAGACGTGGGTAAACAGGTCGGAGAGGGTGTAGAAGCATGTGATCTGAACATCCGCAGAAGTAAAAAATCCAAAAACATCCGCAAGGAATCTTCACCTGTCTTTGTCGCCGCAGATGGCACGAGACCACATGCATGTCCACAGGCCTTTCGGAAGTCCCTTAGCCAGTGCCCATTGCTCGGGCCACGATGGGGGGGTGTCGCCCTCCTTGTAGGCGTCCCACAGCACCTTCGAGACGTATCCGTCCCACACGATCATGGCCACGGACACTGTGAACTCCACGTCCGCCCGTTCCAACGAGTAGCCCAGGTAGCGGGAGCGGCCTCCACCCACAATGTCGCCGGTCCATCCAGGCGAGTTTCTGTCTTTGCGGACACCAGGGCCCTTGCGACCCCTGCCCCCTTCAACCTCCGCCAAAGCACCACCAGCCGTGCCGTCAGTTTCTTCTCCTTCCACGTCACCATGTACCTGGAGGCCTTCCGTATCCTCGTTGTCCTCGTTATCCACGTACTCCTCCACTTCGGCATCCGCATCGCCATGACCTGCCTGAAACTCCTGTGCGTACGTATTAGCCTCCCCAAGATGAATGTCGAACAAGTCCGGAGGGAAGCTGAGTCGACCCTCGGCTGGTATAGCCCCGCTTGCATGTGCGTCGTCGTCCGCAGCAGGTGTGTAGGCTACGGGGCGCTGAGGATGCGCATGCGCATGGTGATTGCCCACGGGCTGGAGCTCATGCAATCCCACCCGGATTGCCGCAAGTCCCTGGTCATCCATCGGGTGCTGTTGCCGATCCGTTTCCATGGCGGCTCGCATCCCTGCCAGGAAATTGTGAACGTCTCCTTGCGCCCCCCCCCCGGCACCTCCTGAATCCGCGGCGCCGCCCTTTGAACAGCGCCTTCCGCACCAGTCTGTTCCACACCTCCACGGCCAGCGAGACCCCTCGACGGAAGGCCCAACACAATGCCACCTCCGCTTGGTGGTTGCGTACCATGCACCCTGCCAGCACCGACCGCAACTAAACCTTGCGACGGCAAGGACGGCCCAATGTTGGGCCGATTGTCTGCACGCCCCATCGGTGTGCCCAAGGTGAGGTCTATGTGCAAAGGCGCAACACCACCGTCCGCACGAGATACCTGTTTCGATGGGACGTCCCCCACACCCTTCTCCAGCCCGCCAGCCTTCGAGCGTTTCAGCCGCGTGGCTTCGCTGTGGACTGTATCTGCTGCCATCCTGCCACGCGTATCACTTCCATCATCCCCACGAGGATGCTTCGCGCCAGCACCCCCTCCTCCACCTTGGCGTGCCAAAGCTGTTGCGGCTCCAAAAACGCTCGGAAGAGCGGCGAATCCAGCTTCGCCAAAGGCCTGTCTCGTTGTCTCCCGAACCATGGAGACGATCTCCGTCTTCAAGCCGTTGGTGGAGTCAGCGACAGCCTCGCGGACACGCTTGTCGACCTGCGCAACGATGGAGGCTTTAATCTCCTGCAGCTTCTTGTTGACCACCCCCTTCACGGCTTCGACGAGAACCTCCTGCATGGTTTTTGCTGCATCCGAGACAGCAGTCGTCACAGCAGCCTTCACAGCCTCGTCGACATGCGGCCCAACCCCCGCAACGGCACCTTCCGCGGCCGTCTTGAGCTGGTCTCCGACACCAGCAAGCGACGTTTCCACAGACTTCACCGTCTCCTGTGTCTTCGCCGCTGCCTTGGCGTCATCACCCACCAGTTGCTCGACGCCCTTGGCAAGGGTGTCTTGCATCGCTCGGGAACGAGCCAACGTATCCGCCGCCTTATCAAGTACCTGGTTCGCGTGCCCGACATACTTGGTACCCTTCTCCTTTTCCTCCGCAAGCTCAACCTCCTTACTACGCAGCTCCTCCCGTAGACGCTCCTTCTCGCTCCTCTCCGCATCCAGCTTCTCCTTCAACTTCCGCTTCTCCTTCTTCCACTCATCCCCCTCAGACACCTACTTAAGCTTCCCCCTGCTCCCCTCAGACGCCTCCTTTGGCTTCCCCTTGCTCCCCTCAGCCACCTCCCTCGGCTTCCCCTTGCCACCCTTGGGATTGCCCCGTTCTACACCTTCCTTGTGCAACGTCACGTCTCCCGCGGTTGGAGCGGTAACCGACGACCCGCCAACGTGACCCTCATCAGCGTGCCCGGAGTTTCCGCCAGGATCCTCCCCACCCTCCACAGAAGCTTCTGTCCCTTGCTGTAAAAGGGCGCCTTCGAACTTCTGCCCCAGCGCGATACCCTCAATGTACAGCGCAATCTGTTGACAAAACAGCTTCTGCTCCTTGCGCCCCATGGACTTGAATTCGTACGACGAGGGTTGCGCAACGACGGCTTCCATGTTGGCAAGGAACGTTTTATACACCTCCGCCATGCGTAGGCCAGTGATGGGTGCGGTGTCTCTCAAATTACCGCAATCCTGCGCAGCCCCCGCATTCAAAAGATATACGTTCGTGAGCGACCATGCAAAGAATTTGTTCGAAGCAGCAGTAGCGTATGCGACATCTCACACTCACCAGATGAACCACGTGCTTCCACCTCTTCAAACGTTCGTCGATGTCGGACTCTTTCGGCCGTTCGAAACCGGCCCCGCCGACACTCGATAGTGCGTGCGCACGAGCAGTGCTCATGATCCACCTGCGTAAGACAATTACAAACGAGGGTGTCAATGCGTTGCACACGGTTTGTCGAATCGATCAGAGCACGACTTCATACTCACTCGTGCACGGTGTTGAAAGCGACATCGTGGAAGCGCTGTCTGGCTTTCGGGTCCACGTGGAAAACCACTGAGCGGTTCTCGCTCGCGAGTTCCTGAAGATCATTCGCGTGTGCCACAAGGAGAAGGCTGCAGTGCCTCCCCGGGAGTTCCTCCGTGCTGTGGCAGGGCAAAAAACCAATAAGGGGAACGATGTCGGCCGTTCTGTCAAGGCAGCGCTCTCCTTGCGCAACAGGTGAGAAAACATCTGCTGATCATGAAAAAAACACCGCTACCGAGAACCGAATCAACTCACGTTGTTACGATGGGCACGGCGATGACAACGCCGCTGCAAAGATGAATCATCGAAGGCATGCAGAACTTCTCTCCGTCTTCGAGCCTGCGGCTGACGGTCTCAGCGGGCACTAGTCGCGTGTTGAGTTTGGGTTCCATGGTCGACTCTGCGTGCCTGCAAACATTTTCGCGTGCAGTAGATGAGCCAGTTGACCGTCTGCACGGCGTACGCTGGATGCCCTAAAACCTACAAACAACGTGCGCAAGCACTCACAGCAGCGCCAACGTCACGGTAGCGGGAGTGAAGTCCACTTTCTCGTCCATCAGCGAGTTATAATCGGGGTCCGTCACCACCAGCGGGACATTGCGGTAAGGCACATAACGGAAGGGCTTGAAGGCCTGCACGGACGTCGTGTCAACGGGTTCACCCATCGTCATACGCGGAAGCAACGATACACTACACCTCGTGAGCGCGATGTCACAACTACTGCGCGTGTGACGAAGCAAAACTGGAAACCTCGTCAAAGGTCCTTAACTCTCTACGGGGGATCTAGGGCAATGAAGAGGCACGCCAGAGGGTGGAGGCAAGATGGTGGGAGTAGAAGGGTAGAAGAAAATTGGACAACCTAGCAACAAATGAAATAATGAGACTCTCATCCTTGACATACCCCCCCAGCGCAAGCAACGTCCGGGAGCGAGGCAAGATCCGTCACGTCCACAGTTGGCATGCGTGACGAATCTCGCCCGTTTGTTGAGGCATGCGAAGGGGTGGATTGGCTGTGCCGAAATGTGGACTGGCTGTGCCAAGGGGTGGATTGGTTGGCCAATGGTCGGTCGCGAACCCTATCTACAATGTTGTGCGGAGATTGCTGAGCGCGCGGACGTGGCAACATGCGACGGGAGCGGGATTGGACGAGGCCGAGCCGCTGGTGCATGGTTCACGCCAACCGACGAAGTGGCACGTGTCAGCAGGAGAGAGGAGATGGCCGTGTCACACCGTGCATGAGCCATTCCCTTTCACGCCTTGGTCACGCCTTGTTCACGCCTTGCTCACGCCTTGCGAAGGGCGACGATTGCGAACTCGGCGAGGGCACTCTGTTTTGGCACGCAGGGGCTTCTGTTTCGCGCAGGTGGGTTGTGTTCCTTCGTATGGGCTGTTTTTGCCAGGGCCTGTTGTTTTCGCCTGCCTTTTTGTGTTCGAATTTGTGTTCGCAAGGTGAATTGCATGAGAATCTGTTTTCGCGGGACCAGGGTGGTTTCCGTGTCGTCGATGGAGAACATGCGCGAGGGGTGGTGCGCTCAGGTGGGGCGGGGAAGTGGGCTCGCGTGCAGCGGGTCCCGACAAGCCCCAGCTGGCGGGGTTTCAGTTCCGCCAACCCGGCGCTGGGAGAGCGACGGATCCGTCGCTCCCACGGGCAAAACGGGAGCAACGCTCGACATTCCGTTGAGACACACAGTGCAGATGGCCCGTTTCACCTTGTTCTCCGCTCTCGTGTTCCACTTCCCCCAGTCCTTCCACATCCTCTAGAGTTGTCCCTCACTATGTTTCACGACCCATTATTCGACTACCTCCGTACCTCCCGTCCTGTCGTCTCCCGTGTTCTATCTGCGTTGGTCACTCACTCAACTGCCCCCCCGGTGTCTCTCTCAGCTCTTGTTACCACTGTCACTAGCTTTGCCTCTTCCCACTGCCTAGACTATGCCGCTCATTTGGTGAGTGGCCCTGCTCATTCTCCGTCCTCTGGGGTGCTCCTGTCTTTCCCCTGGAGGTCCTCAAGGACAGGCAGTTCGAGCTTGATTTCTTGGCGGCCGCTGTTCCTCATCTCTGCGCCATGCTGCTTGCCTTTGAGGGGGATTCAAACGCCCTTGACATCTCGATCCCTCGCACTCACTCCGAAGCGGTCTCGGGACCCTGGACTTCGTACTGGATAGCAGATGAGGAGGCAGATGGCATCTTATAGGTCCGCAGGCACCTATGTCGACGCTGTCCCACCACCTAGGATGAACGTCGTCAATGGCATGTGGATCTTCAAGGTGAAGCGGCCGCCTGGATCACCACCGATGTTCAAGGCCATGCGGTATGTGGCAAGAGGCTTCAGTCAGCGCGATAGGGTAGACTTCTTCCAAACCTTCGCTCCCACCCCAAAGATGACCACTCTTTGTGTGTTGCTGCTTATTGCAGGACACCGCGACTACGAGTTGCACTCCTTGGACTTCTCCACAGTGTTCCTTGAGGGGAGCCTCCAAGAGCAAATTTGGCTGCCTCACCCACCTGGCACTGTCTTTCACATTTGGAACCCAGTGGCAGCTGCATAGACCGGTCTACGGCCTGCGCCAAGCGCCTCGTGAGTGGCACGACACACTTCGCACGACTCTTGCAGCGCTTGACTTCTTTCCGTCATCTGCTGACCCGTTACTGTTCATCCGCCGTAGCTCGACCCCGTTCTTTGTTCTGGTCTACATTGACGACCTAGTCTTTGCCACTACTGACCGACGCGCACTGGCCTCCATGAAGGAGGAACCGCAGAGGAGACACACTTGTACTGATCTTGTGAACTGCAGTGCTACCTTGGCCTGCAGATCACCAGGGACTGAGCAGCTCGGACCATTTCGCTGACGCAGTCGCATGGTCGAGCATATCCTCACGAGGTTTCGCTTCCCGTTCTCCAAGGTACAGCTCACCCCTCTTGTTGTGGATCATGGGCTCATGTCTCCACCTTCGGACGAGCCATTTGAGTCCAGTGGTCCATATCCTGAGTTGGTGGGTTGTCTCATGTACCTGATGACCTGTACTCGCCCAGACCTAGCTTACCCTCTTAGCGTCTTTGTGTACATTGTTGTGCCTGGGAGACACCGACCTTCGTACTGGTACGATGCTAAGAGGATGGCGAAGTATGTGGCGAGCACATCAGGCATGGGACTTGTCCTTAGTGGAAAGCAGTCGATTACACTCACGGGTTTCTCAGACTCGTCATGGGCCGACAAAGCTAAGTCGCTGCAGTCTACACACGGTTACTACTTCAGCCTTGGGACCGGAGATGTTTCGTGGAGGTCTACTCAGGCGTCGTCCGTGTCCAGTTCGAGCTATTAGGCAGAGGTGTACGCTGCGGCCATGGCCGTCCAGAAGCTTCGCTGGCTGTCTTTCCTCCTCACCGACCTTGGTGAGCGGCCTCGCTCTCCCCAAGTCTTGTTAGCCGACAACAGGTCTGCTGTCCTGTTTTGTGAGGAGCCTTAACTGGTTGGGAAGGCGAAGCACATCCAACTTCATTACTTCCTTCTACGAAAGTTGCAGCAGCGTGGCCAAGCACTCGTGCGACATGTGGCCTCTGAGGCCAACACTGCAGATATCTTCACCAAGGCGTTGCCGCCTTGTGACCACCAGCATTTCTGCACCCAGTGATGCCTTGTGTCTACTGGCCCTCACTTGCTTGGTTGCATCTCACTATATTTGTTACATACCTTGTGGTCCCTTGCTTCCGTAGAAATGCTTGTCTTGCTTTTGTACTCTTGCATCATATATTTGCTAGATCTTTGCATGTGGACTGGCCTTGTGGCCTCTTGCTTGTTGTCGAACTGTATGGGGATTTTGAGATCCATCTCGAGAGTTGCTTTGTCCTTGTGAGCTGGCCTTGTGACTGTTGCTCGTCCTTGCTGACTGGTCCTGTGACCCTTGCTCTCAAATTTTGTGGTGACTCCGTGATCCACCCTGAGATAGGTGTTGCTTCCACAAGACTACCGTCACCTAGACTATGGGGGTGTGTCAAGCGATGCTTGTAATAGCTTAGAATTGTTAGTCTAGGTGTACATTCTTGACCTAGGGTTAGGTTAGGGTTCACCGAATATAACTTGCTGTATGTTTCATTCTTACTCAATCCATTTAGCAGTTGTCACTTTAACAGGAGGGAGATGTTGGTGGGCTGATGGTGGCCGAAAGGAAGTGGGGTGGACACGTGCTTGGCCTGCGCCATCTCGAACTTATCCAAGACCTGCTCGAGGTAGTGAGACTGGGAGAGAGTGATGGTGCGGGCAGGTCGGTCAAGCGTGATGGACATTCCGAGATAGTGCTGCAGGTCGCCAAGGTCCTTGCACTTGAGGTGCTCCTGTGGCGACCGTTTCACCTGCTCTATGTCGGCCTTGGAATCAGCAAACAAGATCATGTCGTGGACGTACACCAGATTCGAATGGCTCAAGGATGAAGCGACACTAGTTGTGAGGCTAACTCAAAGCCGTCGAGAGTCAACGCCTTAGATTTGTCCACGTGGCTCAAGGCGAGAATGAATTGCAGCGAGATTCTGCAAGAGCTGCAGCGGCGGGAGGAGGTTGCGCGGGAGCAACTGCTGCTGCTGCGACGAATGCGCGAGGCGGAGAGGGAGAGGAACCGAGTGTCGCAGGGGGACACGGGAAGGGGGAGAAAGGAAGTGGGAGAAAGCGGGAGAGGGAAGGCGCGACAGAAGTTGCAGCAAGGGTCGCAGCAGCAGCTGGCACAAAAGGCGCAGGGGTAGCAGGCGCAAGAGCGGCAGCGACGAGGTGAGGAGAGAATGAAGAGACTGGTGTTTGAGTGAGACGCAGAGAAGCCAAGAGACCGCAGGGTGGCAGGCAACTTCGCATGCCACTCCCTGGGTGCTTGCTTCAGACCATAGACCGGGCGACGCAACTGCCACACAGTGTCCCGAGAAAGGCATCGTGGAACCCCGAGGTCCGCCTCAGAAAAATGCGCTCGTGCAGGTTGCCTTGCAGGAACGCATTTGAGACATTCATGGACCAGATCTCCATGACGTCATGGGCGCCGATGTCGAGGATGGTGCGAAGGGTGGGCAGCTTGGCAATGGGGGGAGAAGGTGGCCCAGAAGTCCATAGCCCAATTCTGCGTGAAGCCCTTAGCGCAGTAATGCGCCTTATAGACCGGCTCCTCACTCGGCAGCTGCTTCACCCGAAAGACCCACTTGCCCTCGACGAGGTTGGCGTCGGTAGGGAAGGGGACGACCACGAAGGATTCATTATGAATGAACGCCTCACATTCCTAGAAGATGGCCGCAATCCACTTGTCAGCATCAGGGCAGGTCATGGCCTCCTAGAAGGTGGAGGGAACGGAGATGGTGGGGTAGGAGGTGGCACTGAGGACAAGAGCACCGAGGAAGTCAGGAAAGAGTGGGGCAAGGGAAGGAGTGTGGTGCTGGACAGTTCGGAAATCCTCATGGGAGTCCTCGAGAAGGCAAAGGGAGGAGGGAGGTGGGATGCCGAGGATAGGGTTAAGGGAGCAAGTGTGCATGCGAGGGAGGAGGAAAGGGAAGGAGCGTGCAGTTGCTCGTTGTTGTTGCTGCTACTGCTTCGGCTGCTGTTGATGCACTCCCTGCTGCTGCTGTTGAGGCGGCTGCTAGTGCTGCTGCTGCTGCTGCTGCTGCCCCTGCTGCTACTGCCCCTGTTGTTGCTGCCCCTGCTGCTGCTACTGCTGCCCCTGTTGCTTCTGCTGCTGCTGCTGCTGCTGCTGCTGCTGCTGCTACTGCTGCTGCTGCTGCTGCTGCTGCTGCTGCTGCTGCTGCTGCTGCTGCTGCTGCTGCTGCTGCTGCTGCTGCTGCTGCTGCTGCTGCTGCTGCTGCTGCTGCTGCTGCTGTTGCTGCTGCTGCTGCTGCTGCTGCTGCTACTGCTGCTGCCGCTGCTGCTGCTGCCCCTGCTGCTGCTGCTGCCCCTGCTGCTGCTGCTGCCCCTGCTGCTGCTGCTGCTACTGCTGCTGCCGCTGCTGCTGCTGCTGCTGCACCTGCTGCTGCTGCTTCTGCAACTGTTGCTGCTGCTGCTGCTGCTGCTGCCCCTGCTGCCCTTGCTGCTTCTGCTGCCTCTGCGACTGCTGCTTTGGCTGCTGCTGAGGGAGCAGAGGAGGGGGATAGAAGGAGGGGGAGAGAGGAGGGGGGGCAGCTGAGTGGGCCAGTGAGGCAAGTGCAGTGAAGTCATAGATGTCAGCAGAGCAGGGAGGGAGCAGGGCAACGATAGGCGGAAAGAGGGGTGCAGGAGGAAGGAGGGGAGGGAGGACAGTGTCTGTCAAGGTAAGGGGGCGAGAGGGAGGAGGGAAAGGGTCAGGTGGAGGAGTGGAGTGGTAGAAAACAGACTCGTTTGACCCCATAGCGTGCTTGGCAGCAGGTGACGACGGACTTCGTCACGGGGTTATCGGCTGGGACGAGTAGGAACGATGCTATCCTTGTCGTCGTCGACCGACTAACAAAAATGGCTAATTTCACGGCCTACAAGAAGTCGATCTCGGTCGAAGAAATAGCCAACCTCTTTATCGCCACCGTCGTTCGACTGCACGGGATACCCACAGCGATCATCAGTGATTGCGACACGAAATATACCAGCAACTTCTGGCGGAACCTGCGGTAGCAGTTCGGCACGAGACTACAGTTCTGTTCATCGTATCACCCCGAAACCGACGGCCAAACGGAGCGGACCTATCAAACCTCGGAGCAGTTAATCCAAGCTACGTGCGACGACCCAGCAACTTGGGAGCAGCAGTTGCCACTCATCAAATTCGCGTACAACAGTTCCACGTCAGCCACAAAACAACAGTCACCCTTCTACCTCAACTACGGGCAGATCCTATAGTACCCATGACCCCGGACCCTGACAACCGTCCCACGTGCGCAACAGGTTTGCCGAATTTTATAGGCCGCTTGGACCCGGGCAGCAGACGCCATCAAAACTTCAAATATCATCGCTAAGCGCAATGCCAACCGCCACCGCCGACCTGCCACTGATGGGCCCGACGACCTCATTTTACTCGACACTCAAAACCTCCGCCTTCCCATCATTCCGAAGTTACGCCCATGATATTGCGGGCCATTTCACACTAGTCACATAATTACACCCGTCAACCCATACGTCAACCCGTTGTTCCACGTCAACCTCCTCCGCCCATATGTTTCGTCAACGAGTCAACTGCCATGCAGCCGGCCATCCAGCATGACATGACCATTGACAGAGCCCGTCATCACACCAGAAAAGTACTGAGCCACCGATTCCGTGACCCACGTGGAGCCTGTAGGAAAAATTCCTGATTAATTTGAAGGACCTCACACCCACCGAAGACATTGGGTGCCCCTAGATAAAATCGAGAACCCACCCCATCCTCACTGAGTATTTGTGCAGACACAATTTCCGAATTGTACACGCACTCTCGTAAGGGGAGGGGGGGTCCTTTGGGAGGGGGGTAGTGTAAGGAAAATTCATTTTCCTTATTTCACACCCTTGCTTATTGCATACACGGCTGTTCCCGCCAACAATACCCCAACAGTGCACCGTTAGGACGTATTGCAATTCCCGTTGCACTACGTCGGCTCGGTTCGGGGCACGGGTTTAGGAAGGGTCCAGGCTAGCGGGAGGCCGAGCCAATGTGGCATACCCTGAGCCGAGTCAGTGCACTGCATCGCTATGGCTCGTGCCAGCACAACCTGGCACATGCCATCAAATTGTCACCCACTGCCAAGCCGCCACTCTACCCTCGCCAACCTTCAGTACACCTAGTTCTTAATAATTGCACACCCCCTACCCTCTGTTTTTTAGATACCCTAAACCTAATCTGGCTCGATACGATGGACATCCAGTACTTCAGGGACTATCAATCGACATCACCATGGTGGCCTCTCTGAACACTTGTGCAATGTATTTCGAGTGAGGAGAGGAGGGGGGGGGGGGGGGGTTGGGGGGGTGGGGAGGGGGTTGAGGTGCCCTGGAGTTCATGTTGCTGTTCGCAATTCGCGGCAGGGGTGCGGGAAAGTCTCCAAGATAATTCGACCTACGCCTTAAACTAAACTTCAAAAATGTTGTACCCAGGGTATTTACCCCTAGGGTGTTCGTTCAAGGGGTGTGCAATTATCGAGAACAGGATGTACTGTAGTCGGCAATATCCTCGAATGTCATGACGAAATCTCGAGGTTCCCGAGGCGCGAGTCTGGCACAACCTGGCTCGTGCCAACTCGAGCCAAGTCGATGCAATGCACTGGGAACTGCAACGCGTCCTTACCACTCGCGACACTCACCTCGACCACCGTTTCCCGCCACTATTCACATCGCGACCCAACCTCACGGCTCGGTTGGTAACCCGCGCTCTAGTCCTCCGCTCGGCGCTAGGCCCGTAGCGCACTCCATTTTCACGCGTTACCGATACCACGCTAGTTTGCCATATAATAATTGCTCATTTCTTAGAAAGTGCAATCTTCGTTCATTCACTCAATTGCACTCATAACAGAAACACAAACACGGGTGGTGCGACTATATCTGCTACGGGACCGACCCAACTCGTGCGACGGCGTTTTGGAACGTTTCCGTGACAAAACTTGCTTCCGAAATGTGGGTGACACCATGACACTTGACTGGGTATCGTTTGCGAGCGGGATTAGGCTGTGGTAAGGACATGTCACCTCTAGCAGATCGGAGGATGATCGGCGGTTTACACCGAGCCTGACATGTGAGCCCAGGCTCAAGACACGATTGCTTCACATTTGCAATCCTAGGTTCAATATCGAATCCTTCGGTGATAGGTTCAGACAGATTATGACACTTTTGGCGTGAGATCGAACAGCATTCCCACAATCTCCAGATCATGGTGCTCACAACGTCACACTAATCGACGGAGTTGGAGGTGACAAGGTCGTATGTGCAAGATAACGTTAGCTCGGCCAATATAAACTAAATTGAATAACCAACTGGTGACCACACTATAGTGCAATTGTAGCATCCCAAGATCGATCGTACGCAGGATCGATCCGCTAGAGGGACGCGTGGGCGTGTACACTCGCTAAGATTTCGGCGATCGATCGTGCAAAATCGATCTGCCCCCACACAGAAAACCTGTTTAAACTCTCTTGACATTTTCCCGTCAGGAAACGAACCTGCGACAGGATCGATCACCGAAATCTATGGGGGTGTCCACGTCCTAAGAGTATCTACTGATCTCTAGATATCGATCCGCCACCGTACTCTAATCACGCGTATTGCATCTAAGACTACAGAACCTACTCCAACGCCATAAAAAAACGATATCGAGGCGATCGATCCTCCAAGATCGTCACTTATAGGGCATGTGTGGTCTTCGAAATTTGTAAAAGTTTATGTTTTTAGGGGGAATATAGATTTTGAACTTAAGTCGAATATAATTCGAAACGCGCCGAGCCACGCATCAAGAATGTAGGTTACCCGATACAAGCGTCTTGACAGCGCGCCATGTCAACATTGTGCGCCTCAGTATTGTCTAGAGCTCCAACTCACCTTCCGCGCTTCGTGCGTAACTTGGGTACAAATAGCCCCCATAGCAACTTAGGATACATGTCTTCACTTATGTGCCACGGATGTTGCCACGTGGCTACCGACGAGTGCCCTAACTGTGGGATGTTTCCGTTGTGCCATTTCCGTCGCCTGTTTCGCCTGCTCCTCGTACGTGTTGTAACTCACACACGCTCGCATGAACGTGCGCACGCACGTTCACAACGCCGACTCGGGTCAGGTTCACGTTTCACATTCAAACTTTTGTGCGATGTAAAATCCCCAGCCTTCGCCAATGGGCCTAAATTAGCAAAGCGGGTAACCACCAAAAGTTCGACCTTTTTCTGAACTTCAAAATTGATCACACGCGCCCTTACCACGCCCATACTTTGTCGATTTGTATCAGGCGTGCTTCTTTTGACTTGAGGTTGTGCATGAGGTGTGCCAGGTCTTCAATGGAGTAGATGTCGTGGTGGGGAGGCGGGCTGATGAGCCCCACTCCCAGCGTGCTGTTACGCGTCACAGCGATATCCCCCATCCCCTTGTACCCGGACAGCTCGCCTCCCTCCCCGGGCTTCGCACCCTGCACCATCTTAATCTACAACTCATCCGTGTTCGTCATGTAACATCTCGACCCACCCACGTGATCTCGATATGTCGAACCAGCTGTGATAGGGAAACATGGGGTGAAACATGATTGGTTGGGAATTGATTGGAAGTGAGGAATTTGGGGTTGATTGGAAATACAACCGATCAGAAAGTTGCTACACAATTGTGACTGAACATACACAATAGGTTTGAACAAAACCCACGTAAGTTCAAACGTCACCATTGTCTAGCCAATCAGAACATACTCACCCAAAGTGAGTCGACGGAACTTCCGCCGCTGGTTGGAATTGTAGCCAATCAGAAACTTCCAACCTAAGTCCAACGCAACTTTCCCTTGAAATTGCAACCAGTTAACACATGACAGATATGGATCACATATTACATACACAGCATTTTATCCCTTTGTTTGTGCCATGTCATTGAGTAAAAGGATCAACCTTTGCCACATGGGCAAGGCCCATGGTGGTGCACCCTTCCTTGCCATGGGGAAGGTGGCTGCACCCCAAGGGGGTCTAGGGAGGGGTCTGAGCCAAGCAAGCTCATTCTCCAATTCCTATCCCCAACTCATCAATTGGGAAATAGGATTGCTTTCTCACAAGTTACCTTCCATACTCTGTTACTGCATCTCCCAACATTTTCCAGACTTTTTGTCAAGGGAGCTGATACACTTTTTGTGGTACAGCTAGACTCTGAACCAACAACTTCACAGATTATTGAGGATTTCCCACCTCAAATGAAGGCGTTGGCAGAGGAATATTTTGAGGTTCTTGAGCCAATTCCGGACCACACCACCATGCAGTCGACCACACCATCCCGGTGGAACCAGGAAAGGCACCACCGTTTAGACCTTTGTATCGCCTCAGTCCAGCTGAGTACGAGGAGGCTAAACAACAGATTGAGGAATACCTCAGGAAGGGATGGATAGAACCCAGCGCGTCCCCATATGGAGCACCTATCTTGTTTGTTCACAAGAAGGGAGGTGGAAAGCGCATGTGCGTCGATTATCGAGCCCTGAATAAAATTACGATAAAAAACGGATATCCACTTCCGCGGATAGAAGATTTATTTGACCGACTGCAGGATGCGCAATGGTTCAGTGCATCGGATTTGGCGCAAGGTTATCACCATATGTTCAAAAGACGACTTTCTGTTCGCCGTTCGGCCATTTTCAGTGGCGTGTGTTAAGTTTTGGCTTGACCAACGCTCCGGAGGGCGATGAACGATGTGTTTCGTGATGCGATTGGCCAGTTCGTCTTGGTGTACCTCGATGATATCCTGGTATACTCGAAAACCAAAGACGAACATACGGAACATCTGAAGTGGGTCCTCGAAAAATTACACGAGCATAAATACTACACGCGTTTGTGAAAATGTCATTTTTGCAAACGTGAGCTGGAGTACTTGGGGCACGTGATGGGGCGTAATGGGTTGAAAGTGGACCCCAAGAAGGTAGCAGCTGTCCAGGAGTGGCCCGTCCCACGCGACGTTGGCCAAGTTCGATCATTCCTGGGCCTGGCGAATTATTTTCGTCGCTTCTTGGAAAATTATTCCACGATAGTCGCTCCCCTCACGGCATTAACCCGGAAAGGGTGTGCATGGGAGTGGACTCCACAGTGCTTTAAGGCCTTTGAAGAGGCCAAATGTCGGAGTTACCCTTTTCCTCCTCCCCTTGGTCCCTTACCCTCTTGTGTCTTCTCTGTCTTCTGTCTTTACCCGCCTGTCTTCCTTCTGCCTACCTTCCAC